CTGAAGTGTATAACATAATTGCGCGGCTTTGTAGAAGCTGGATTCTCCGTAAGCCGGTTTAATGTGAGCCTTAGGATTTGAGCAATAAAAATTTGGCCGTTTACGTATCGCATCAAGTAACTTTCTTCATACGAAAGCTCACAGGATAAACTAAAGGAAGACAAACTCTTCATCCAAGTAAAAAGCCACTGGCTTATTTTAACTGCTGCTCAAAATGTGCTAAACCATGTTTGACTCTAATTTATGGGCACGGCAGCATTCATAAGAAAGAACAGAAACAGATCAAATAGCATTAGTCCTGTTTCGTCAATTTAATAGAGTCAGCTCGTCAAATATACAATGGCTAATCCTCAACACATAACGAGAACCGACAACGCCGAGCACCAGATGGATGATATTTGTGGATACCCTACCTCGTCGGTGCCTTCGGCGTCTGCAATGTCCACTTCGTACACCACAGCACCGACGTCGGCAACCGAAGTATTCGACTGAAATGCCCATAGCTTCTGGCATTTGACATAGTTGAAAGTTACAAGCTGCCAGTCAGAAGTAAACGTTTCGATGCAATGGCGAGCAAGCGGTTGTTCGATGTCTTCGATGGACAAGTCGATGACCGAGCTGACCGCCGTCCGAGTCGCAACCTTTTGTGAACTTATCTAGAAGCAAAAACATGAAGGACCGCCATCAGCAATTCCGAAAGTGCGCGCTTACGGAGATGTCATCATCCGGAAACAGTAGCATGTCGCGATGACGGTGAGCATCTATCACTGAGCGATTATGGGTGAGGAACGCTTCGTAGTCGATTGGCGCCACCAGATCTGGCTTCGCCTGTGTGCGGAACAAACAGATAACCAAGAGAAGACAAATGACCACAAATACTACCTTTAGCGAGTTTTCCTTGATCGTCTGGCTGACAACCTCCCGGTTGTGTCTGGCAAAACCGAGTCCACCGATGGCATGCTTGAATTTACGCGACTTTCCTCCCAGTGGCTGCGACGAAACCGACGGGTTCGCCATCCGAAAGTTCTCTTGACCAGAGGATGAACGAGTTGACATCTATCACACAAATAGGAAAGCCCACCAGCAGCTAGCAGACGCGGCAAAATATGTTAAGTCACATATGCTGATGTCGTCTAGAAGATATGTAAGAATTGAACTCTTGCAAAACTCGACACGATCAAAACCAAACACAGTACTAGCTTCAGATGATCAGAGAAAAACTGGTCAATCAGTCTTGTCTTTGCTTCAAAAAACCCGTGGATATGTTGCTCGCCTGATCTTTCAAGATTTATTTCCATTTGAAAAATTTCAGGTTATAAGGGTACAAAACAAGTACATTACGAACTGATTTTACTATCAATGAATGATAGATCTATACAAACAGATACATTTAAAATACAAAGGTAATCTTGTCACTGCTTGGGAGAAAGTGCTTCTCAGATCAATAAAAACGAATTGCGGTGAATTTAACACCGGATCAGAAGAATGAACGATAGACTAGCAATGTAGGCGGGCAAAACCAGGACTGAAGAAAGGCCATATAAAAAGTGGTCAGGCAGCATACTGAGGACCACATGGAGACAGCATACTGAGTACCTGTCTTCGTCACGCCTTTGGGTTCACATAATAGAGTTTTACCGCTTACTATATCAACCTAGGATAGAAACCATAGAAAATGAAGCGTTAGGACATGACATCTCAGCGCAGCTGCTTTGGAGCAGTCACGCAGCCGCAAGACTGAACCAGTATAAATTGCGCAGATCCTCCGCCACTACCTATATACTGACGCCTTTACGCTACATGCACATGGATAGCACTTAGTAAGTCCAAATGTTATTCCAGTTTCTGACTTGAAAGTGACAGTTTCGATTCACGAATTTAGACCACATAGCGAACGAGCCATTCAGCCACGTCAGTTACGTCTGCAATTGCAATATACTGGCAACGGCGCTGTTGAAAGCACAAGTTTATGTGCGAAGGAATTTGTTGTCCTTCTGACAAAACAATGCTGATGGGACATAGAAGGTGGCAATAGGAGCAAAAAGATCAGTGCGAAACAAAACATCAAAATATATCCATGCGCCAGATTATGTCAACAACGCGTTACTCCTCCAAGATTAGATTTCACGGCAAATTCAACCGCTCTCCTGTTCCTAATTGCCTGGAGGGGGCATCGACGAAGCATACAGGGACTTCAAAGACGATGTCATTTGCTTTCTGAAACACCAACACGGGGTCGGGAAGATGTTAAAACAATCCTGGGTAGCGCAGAACACCTTACCTTCAGTGAGCGGATGAACGAGGCTAGGAAAGGGTACCTGCTACTCCTCACTGTACCTCTGAAGGCCACCTATCATCGTCTTCGCATTCGTGCTAACGATACCGTTACAGGGTGAAATCAGAAAGAATGATAGTGCAGACAAAAAGGATGACTAGAAAACACTGTTCCAAGTAATACGACAGTAGTCCGGTAGCTCCAATCATTTCTTATTCATGACGATAAGGTACGATCAAAAAGACACAACAACAGATTGACTGAACGTTTCCTGCAGCTTCTCAAGAGTTGTTCCCCAGATCCCCCCGTCTGAACATCAATTTTCTGGCAACACAATAAGTTACTGTGGATTCATCTACAAAACTTGGAATTCAAAAAGCCCTATTACACCTAAAATTGAGCATTTAGCATCCGACAGCAAAGCTAGTGAAAAAATGACAGCGGACATCACAAGTCAAAAGCACTGCGCAAACAGAATAATGCAATGATAAAAATATACTATCAATAAACCGACGCGTATGCGTTTTCGTTTCTGAATCAACTTTTTTTCAGCTCATATTTTCGAACACGACAGTGGTTGCTTCAAGAGGTTGTGCAGGATCATATTTTCGAAAGATGAGCAGGCTCTGCTTGTCTGGCATTTGCAATAGGTGCATTGCAATGCAAAGCATTGCTTGGTCCTCACTTTCTGCGTTCCTATTATCCATGCCTTTAGCCAACACAAGAACTTCGAACTGCCGTAGTATCCGCCGTTCTAGACCGTCTCTGACTGAATTCATTCTCAGAGAAAGAGAATGTGATGCCTCATTCGACACTACTGAATTGCACAAACGATGTACGAAGGGACAAAACTGCGGGACAGTTGGCGGCGGTGAGCAGGTTGCCTTACACGTTAAATAGCCGGGTTCAAACGTAAGGCGCGGCGTAAATTTCTTTCATTAATTGCTAATTGCCTTGAACAAGGAATTCATTCTACTCTACTTCCGTGTAATCAGCTGAAAAATGGATAGCCGTCGTTGTCGTGCGAATAATCGGGACGACATGGCGCTTTGGTGCGATCATACTAGAGTGGGCGAGGAGCACAGACATGCATTCATATGCATGCGCTCTGCGGCTGCAATTCGCCTTCACCCAACTGACTGCTGACTAAAATTCAGTACAAGGTGTAAAAGTAAATTTTTTAAATTTTAAAATGCGTCATCCGAAAGGAAGCGCTGCTGTCGAATTGGTTCGGCCATCAGTAAACTTCGTTAAGGCCAAAGTGCTGCCTATCTTACAAGTGAACATCAAAGCGGATTACACGAAACCGAACAGCTGGAGCCATACTAAAGAGGACAATAAGGGGAATGAACGTTGATCAACGATCCAGCTCAAGAT